GCCGAGGCGTAGCTGGCAAGCGGCAGAGACGGAGCAGGCCGACCACCAGCTGGCCCAGCCCAAGGGAGGTAAGGCACCTGCCGGAAAAGGGGAAAAAAATGGCGGACAAAAAAAATGGCGGACAGCCTTGCTTGGCGACCCCCATGAAATGGTCGATCGACCCCAAATGGGGTCCCGACCCACAGGTTGAGAACCACTGATTTAGATAATGGAGAAGGTGTATCATATATCATTTAAGACACCCAATTGTATCTGTAGAGGCGGATATAAGTTTAAATCAGGGGTCTTCAAACTTGGCCCTTTTATGAGACTTGTGGACTTCAACTCCCAGAATTCCTCAGCCAGAGTGCCTGGCTGAGGAATTCTGGGAGGGTGAAGTCTAAAAGTCATAAAAGGGCCAAGTTTGAAGAGCCCTGCTTGTGGACTTCAACTCCCAGAATTCTTCAGCCAGCGTGCCTGGCTGAGGAATTCTGGGAGTTGAAGTCCACAAGTCATAAAAAGGCCAAGTTTGAAGACCCCTGGTTTAGATAAAGAAACTTGTCCCTAGAACTTTTTGTACTCTGAGACAAGTTCTCGTGTTGTCAAGATTCCCACAAACCTTCAACTGCTAAGGCATCTTTGTTCCTGGAATGGAGAGCAGACACCATCCAATGTTGGCTTTTTCAAAGATAGGAAAGTATCTTGGGTTAGTCTTGTTCACCTCAATTGTAGACCATATTCTGCCTTCGGGTAGATCTTTGAAAAATTCTATTTTTGGAATAGACTATTCCAGGGGACTCCAGAAGTTTCCATCCTTTTTCCAGACCACAACTGAGGGACTTGGACCGTGCCAAGTTGACTCAGCTTCCTGTTCTAGAAGATTTGCTTTTTTAAAAATGCCGGACCACCCCAAAACAGCTGGATCGGCCTGGTCTGGAGAAAGAATAGATTGGCAAAGGAGTATTTTTCATCCACTTAGATACTCCTAAGCTCTAAATTTCTATTGCTAAGCACGACAGTTGTGAGTGAATTTTGCCCCATTTTACGACCTTTCTTGCTACCATTGTTAAGTGAATCACTGCATTTATTAAGTTAGTCAAAGGGTTGTTAAATGAATCTGGCTTCCCCATTGATTTTGCTTGTCAGAAGTTGCAAAAAGGGATCACGTGAACCCAGGACACTGTGACCGTCGTAAATATGAGCCAGTTGCCAAACATCTGAATTTTGATCACGTGACCGTGGAGATGCTGCAACGGTCATAAGTGTGGAAAAGGTCATAAGTCACCTTTTTCATGCCGTTGTAACTTCGAAACGTTCACTAAATAAACTATTGCCTGGACTGTAGGATGTTCTTTAAAGAACTCACCCAGGAAGCAAATGATCTGCAGGCCTGAAGGAAGCATCTGATGCTGAAGATTGTGGTGGAGGTGCTCACGTTAAAACACAAAATAAAATTGGTGAAAGGGTTCAAGAAAAAAAGTTAAATGTGATTCAATTTCGGATGCATTTCAGGGTGTCCGCGAAAGGGAAAAATATTTGGAATTGACGGGACAAGCACGCTGGTCAGGGCCCCTAATCTACCTAGAAGTGTTTGGCTGCATGAAAAATTCACTTAACAACTGTTTCACTTGGCAACATAAATGTTGGGGTCAATTGTGGTCGTAAGTCGAGGACTACCTGTATTATGATATTTATGATCTGAGGTCATGTAATCCCCTTTTGCGACCTTCTGATAAGCAAAGTTAATGGGGAAGCCGGATTCACTTAGTGCCCATATGCTTCACTTAACAACTGCACCAAGAAAAGTCGTAAAATGGAGGAAAACTCAGCAGCTGTCTCGCTTAGCAACGGAAAGTTTGGTGACCTCTGCTCCAATATGACCATGGAATAGTTCCACCATGGACATGCCAACAGAACACACGTGTTTCGCTGATCTGGGCAGAATCCACCCACCATTCTAATTCTTCTGTAGATGAAATGTCCTGCGAGGCATAAAAAAAGATTATTATTTTTCTTTGCCGCAAAGAAAACAAAACAAAACAAAATCATCTACTCATTTTCTTCCTGATGCATTTCAGACGCTGCATATGAATTAAGGTAGTCAATCAATCAATCATGGTTCGCCCTATCTTGTTTTCCATAAATTGAGCTATGTGTATGTAATCCATTTCATTAAGTAGCCCCATCTCTGTAAAATACACCCCCACTTCCAAAGATACACACACATACACACAACTGTACAAACGGTCCATATACATAAATGATAGATAGAAAGAGATAGATAGATAGATAGATAGATAGATAGATAGATATTATTTATTTTTATTCTGCCTTTTATTTTGTAACTAACTCAAGGCAGCAAACATATCTAATATCTGTCCTCCTATTTTCATCACAACAAAAACAAGGGGGTTGGACTAGATGACCTCCAATGTCCCTTCCAACATTATTGTTGTTGTTGTTGTTATTATTATTGTTGTTATTATTATTATTATTATTATTATTATTATTATTATTATTATTATTATTATTATTATTATTATTATTATCCTGTGAGGTAGGTTGAACTACGAGAGAAGGGCTGGTTCATATCACTCAGTTGGCTTTCATGCGTAAGGCAGGACTAGAACTCTCGATCTCCCAGTGATTGGGGCAGCCTCTGAATATTGGAAGACAGCTATCATGTCACCCCTATTTCTTCTTTTCACTAAACTAGACCAGGGGTAGGCCACCTTGGCTCTTTTATGACTCGTGGACTTCAACTTCCAGAATTCCTGAGCCAGCCATGCTGAGGAGAATTGGAGAGGTTTCCAGGCTGAGCCATACTGGCTCAGGAATTCTGGGAGTTGAAGTCCATGAGTTATAAAAGAGCCAAGATGGCCTACCCCTGACCTAGACATACCCAATTCCAGGAACCGTTCCTTATATGTTTTAGCCTCCAGTCCCCTGATCGTCTTTGTTGCTCTTTTCTGGACTCTTTCTAGAGTCTCAACATCTTTTTTACATCGTGGTGGTCAAAACAGGATGTCGTATTCCAAGTGTTGTGTTACCAACTCAGGCCACCCTTGGAACAGTGCATCCATCAACCGTGCCCTTGAGCTACCTGTGATCTTTGAAACTCGGAAACTCAGCTCTCCTGCCTCGCATGAGAGTCCCTGGGCAATTCTTGGTGAAATGAGTAGCTCTGATCTGCAAGCACAGCTCCTGCTAACAAAACTTCCCTCTTCTTTGCTTCTCACAGATTGATTACACCGGTTGCGGCATCAACCCTGCACGTTCGTTCGGATCAGCGTTGGTGACCACTAACTTTGTCGACCACTGGGTAGGTTTCTGATCAGAATCCCAAGGCAGGCAGCCACGGGCCTCACGTAAGGGCTAAACTGGGAATCCTGCGGTTCGATCAAAGAAGTTTGTGGAAAATTACATTTGAGCTGCTCGGGGTGACTTCAAGATATAAAGAGGAGAAATGTCAAAAAAAAGCTAAGGAAAACAAAGAGAGAAGCACGTTAGAAGCAGAAGGAATCGTCAAATATTTGGGGTGATGTCATTTTACACACATACACACACACACACACAGACAAATATACAACCATTGCTGGCAACCATCACCCCAATCTTCAGGGGAGAAGCCCGTCTGCTGTTTCTTTCTGTTTCTAAAGCACGTGACATATCGGTTGCCGAACGTTGGACCTTGATTGGGTGACCATGGTGCAATGGTCGTAAGTGTGAGGACCAGTCCTCAGTCCCTTATTTCCAGTGCCATTGTGACTTCAAAAGGTCGCTAAATGAACGGTTGTAAGCCGAGGACTATCTGTGTAGTCATTTTGCAGGTTCCCTAATGGTTTTCCTGCAGATGTTTCATGACCCAACTAGGTGACATCATCAGTGCTTGGAGGAAGTGGGGTTTGCAGAGATGAGGAGGATGAGGAAAAGGAGGAGGAGGAGGAGGAGGAGGAGGACTGTGGGGTCATTGGTGATCTCTAAGCTTCTTGGTTTTCTTGCAGATGTTTCATGATCCAACTAGGTAACATTATCACTGTTAGAAGCAGGGCTTTTGGATGTAACCTTGTAGGGTAGGCAAGGCGGGTTGTATGACGTGTATGAGTTCTAGCACCTTCTTTTTTTTTTTAGGAAAAAAAGCACTGGTTAGAAGTGAATAGGACCGTGGTGGCGAACCTATGGCACGCGTGCCACAGGTGGCACACGGAGCCGTTTCTGGTGGCACGCGAGCCATTGCTGGACCAAGCTGTTCCCTCCTCCTCTCCGCGCATGGACAGCTCTCCATGCATGCGCAGTCTGGGAATAGGCGAGAGGCTACAAAAAGAGCATCTTTTGGCGGAAGCAGCATTTGCTGCAGACAGTGAGAGAGCGAGCACAAGTCGGAGTGGACAGCGAGCGAGCGAGTAAACACGAGCCGACAGCTCAGTGGCCATGCCCACTCGGTGGCCACACCCACCTGACACCGGGTGATGCATAAGTGGGTTTTGGGTTGCGGTTTGGGCACTTGGTCTCTAAAAGGTTCGCCACCACTGGGGTAGGATTTGCAAAGAGGAGGAGGAGGAGAAGAAAATTGTGACATCCTTGATGCTCTCTGAGTTTGGTTCTTTTCTTGAAGACATTTTGTGACCCAACTTGGTACCATCATCAGTGCTAGAAGCTAGAATCAAACTCCCTTCTAGGACTAATGAAGTTACCTAGTTGGGTCAGTAAATATCTTCAGGAAACAACCAAGCTCAGAGAGCACCAAGAACCCCACAGTCCTCCTGCTCCTTCTTTCTGAAAAACCCCTTCCCTTGTAGCATTGATGACATTAACACGTTGGGTCACGAAATGCCTGCAAGAAAATACCCCAAGCCCCCAAGCTCAGAGAGCACCAAGGACCCCACAGTTCAACGTGCATTGAGGGAACCTACAGGACAGTGATTGATTGACGGCTTGGCAGCTCTGCCAACCATGGGACAAGCACAGCTGTATTGAACAGCACCCTCTTTGTGTTGAATTTCAGGTCTTCTGGGTTGGCCCCTTATTGGGGGGTGTCAGTGCGGCTCTCATCTACGACTTCATCCTGGCACCCCGAAGCAGCGAGATCACAGAACGCATGAAGGTTTGGACCACCGGCAACACGGAAGAGTATGACCTCGACGCCGATGACTCGCGAGTAGAGATGAAACCGAAATAAAAGGAAGAGAAAGCTCGGAAAAACACGGCACCCATTTCTAAAAATGTGCTCTTTTTTTACACTTGCCTCTGTCCGATCAGTATTATAGACTCTTTCTAAAATGACCTGCCATTTTTCCAAATGTTTTTATAAGTCGCTATGTTTTTTTTTCCTCTCCAAATTTCTGGATTGGGAGGGGAGCATCTTGGGAGAATTTCTGGAGCCTCATATTTCTGTTCTGGAGCCGAAGGGGACAGGTGCCTTGAAAAATAGATTATTTTTGTATTATTTCAGCCCAGAGTGATAGCAAGAGTCTGCCTGCAGCAGGGAAGAAATATGGAAAAATGTTATCCAGGGAGAAAAAAAAACAGTCAAGGAAGGGCAATGCCTTGATATTAGTTTTTAGAAGTGAGAAAATCAGTGGGAAAAATAAATTTAGTAGAGTTTTCTAGAGCATCTGGGCCATTCGGAGATATTAGGAAAATAAATATTTTTTCCTATTGCTAGGGAATAGAATGCACACATAAACAAATAAACACACACACACACTTTGTATAGATATATTGTGATTCTATATCCTCAAATCAGTGTTGACTTATAAAAGCAACATAGAGACATGTTTCTGAGCTTTGCCCACTGTAAGCTGGGGGGACTTCAACTCCCAGAATTCTGCCGCTGAGAGTTGAAGTCCATACCTGTTAAAGCACAGGGCTGGGGAATTCTGGGAGTTGAAGTCCATCCATCTTAAAGTCACCAAGGTTGACAAAAACAGACATACATTTGGTAGGCCTTCTCCAAGATGATGGTGTAGTTACCACTTCCAGAATCATTGAATATTAGATGGGACCCTAAGATCATCTAGTCCGGGGGTAGGCAACCTTGGTTCTTTTATGATTCGTGGACTTCAACTCCCAGAATCCCTGAGCTAGGAATTCTGGGAGTTGAAGTCCACGAGTCATAAAAGAGCCAAGGTTGCCTACCCCTGATCTAGTCCAACCCACTGCCCAATGCAGGAAGCACTACTATAGCGTTCCAGACAGATGCCTTTTTCTGCTAAAGCACCTCAAGATGTCCATCATCACCCAAGGCATCCTGTCCTCTTGTTGAAGGTCTCTTATCTTTAGAAAATTTCTTGCCATGGGGGAGACCTCATATGACCTCATCTGGACCCACTAACTAACCACATTCTTTAAGGCAATGAAGAATAGTGTCCTGTTCCTCATTCAGAAGCAGGTTCAGCCCAGTTCTACCAGCTTCCGGAAACAGGAGCCCTTCAACTTAGAATATTAAATATCTTAACACAATGACAGAATACAGAGTTGGGAGGGACCTTGGAGGTCTTCTAGTCCAACCCCCTGCTCAAGCAGGAAATCCGATACCATTTTAAAAAAAGGGTTATCCAATCTCTTCTTGTGGAACACCCACAATGTCTGGAGGCAGGTTTTCCCACTGATTAATTGTTCTCACTGTCAGGAAGTTTCTCCTTAGTTCCAGGTTGCTTCTCTCCTTGATTAGTTTCCATCCGTTGCTTCTTGTCCTGCCTTCAGGTGCTTTGGAGAACAGCTTGACCCCCCCCCCCCCGTTCTTTGAGGCAGCCCCTCAGATATTGGAAGGCTGCTATCACGTCACCCCAAGTCCTTCTTTTCACTAGACTAGACAAACCCAATTCCTGCAACTATTCTTCATGTTTTAGCTTCCCTTGACCTGGCCCATTCCTGACCACTTATATTCCCACAAGGCACTAAACTGGGTCGCTTGGAAACGTGATGACTAATAACCAGCTGTTGCTTAACATGTACTTATGTGTGGGCCACTTAACATGTGGAAAGAAAAAAATACTTTGATAATTAAGCTATGTATGTTATGGGACCACCGCCATATCTTATTGTAAAAATCTCTCTTCTGTAAACTGTGGCGACATCCTTATGTTTATTTTATACCTTTCTTACTGAACAGTCATTTTACGGATGCCAACTGTCACCCTGGAGCTTTGAGAATTTCACAGTTGTCTTGCTTTTGAACTCAAAGTGCGTTGATTGCTTGCTACGTATCTTCCAAAAACGTTCCAAAAAATGCAAGTAAAAGTATCTGGAATATCTGAATGTATTGATTTTTTTCTCTCTCTCTCCATGGGTGGCTGATTTAACTTTAGAACGCAGCACGAGTTGAGAATGTTGATCTGTATCAAACTGAGTTAAAACTCGGGTTTGATCCTCCGACAAGTGGGGTGACCAGCTTAACTGAACGCAAGGGGAATTCTGGGTGAAATTTTTATGTACAGACTTACAACTGTTCATTTAGTGACTGAAGTTACAATAGCACCGAAAAAAGGGACTTAGGACCATATTTCACACTTATGACCATTGCAGCATCCCCAGGGTCACATGATCAAAATTCAGATGCTTGGCAACTGACTCATATTTATGACGGTTGCCGTGTCCCGGGTGTCACGTGATCATCTTTTGTCACTTTCTGACAAGCAAAGTTAAGGCGAAGCCTGACTCACTTAACAACCATGTTATTAGCTTGCCAACTGCAGTGATTCACTTTAAAATGGTGGTGAAAGGTCGTAAAATGGGGCAAAATTCACTTCGCGGCTGTCTCACTTAGCAACTGAAATTTTGGGCTCAGTTATGGTCATAAGCCGAGGACTACCTGTACTATGTAAGATTGAACTAATCACTCTTTGCTGCCTTCTGACAAGCAAAGTCAATGAGGAAGTCCAGATTCACTTAACAATTATGTTACTAACTTAATAAATGCATGATTCACTTAACAACTGTGGCAAGAAAGGTTGTTAAATGGGGCAAAATTCACTTAACAAGTCTCTTGCTTAGCAAGAGTAATGTCGGGCTCAACTGTGAAGAACATTCCCACCAAAACTGACAAGTATATAAACAGAGAGCAAACTTCACTCCTTTCTAGTCCTGATGATGTTGCCTAGTTGGGTCATGAAATGTCTGCAAGAAAACTACCAAGCTCAGAGAGAACCAAGGACCCCACAGTCGTCGTCTTCTTCTTCTTCTTCTTCTTCTTCTTCTTCTTCTTCTTCTTCTTCTTCTTCTTCTTCTTCTTCTTCTTCTTCTTCTTCTTCTTCTTCTTCTTCTTCTTCTTCTTCTTCTTCTTCTTCTTCTTCTTCTTCTTCTTCTTCTTCTTCTTCTTCTTCTTCTTCTTCTTCTTCTTNTTCTTCTTCTTCTCCTCTCCTCCTCCTCCTCCCCCCTGCAAACCCCACTCCCCCCTAGCACTGATGATGTTGCCTATTTGGGTCATGAAACGTCTGCAAGGAAACCACCAAGCTCAGAGGGTACCAAGGATCCCACAGTCCTCCTCCTCCTCCTCCTCCTCCTCCTCCCTTCTAGTACTGATGATGTTTCCTAGTTGGGTCATGAAACATCTGCAAGAAAACCACCAAGTTCAGAGAGCATCAAAGACCCCACAAGATAAATCTGCGGCATCAGACCTTTCCATTTTCCCTGGAAGTATCCTCTATTTCCTATTTTCTTGGAAATATCAGAGGCTGCTTTTAAAGAGCTGGGAGCAGTCAGTTTTTCCATTTCTTGGAAGTCCCGTGCAATTACTTGGATAGTTCTTCTAGGAAAGGTTGAAAAGAAGCTGTAATTGCTGCAGCCTCTTTCACAGGGAGCTAAGGAGAATATGGCCTCTCTGCTAGCTCAAGTTCTGCCTCCTCTTCCTCATTATTACTATTATTAACAAGATGTAAATAATAATAATAAAGTTGGAAGGGACCTTGGAGGTCATCTAGTCCAACCCCCTGCTCAGGCAGGAAACCTACACCATTTCGGACAAATGGCTGTCCAGTTTCTTCTTAAAAACTTCCAGTGTTGGAGCATTCACCGCTTCTGGAGGCAGGTTGTTCCACTGGTTAGTTGTTCTCACTGTCAGGAAGTTTCTCCTTAGTTCTAGGTTGCTTCTCTCCTTGATTAGTTTCCATCCGTTGCTTCTTGTCCTGCCTTCAGGCGCTTTGGAGAATACCTTGACTCCCTCTTCTTTGGGGCAGCCCCTGAGATATTGGAACACTGCTATCATGTCCCCCCTCGTCCTTCTCTTCATTAAACTAGACATACCCAATTCCAGCAGCCTTTCCTTATATACTTTGGCCTCCAGTCCCCTGATCATCTTTGTTGCTCTTCTCTGTACTCTTTCTAGAGTCTCAACATCTTTTTTACATCGTGGTGACCAAAACTGGATACTTCTTCTGCTGTCAGTTACTTCTAGAATCTTGTAAAAACGAGAGGCCCAAATTTGCTTCCAACTGAATTCTGTTTGGACTGCATTCTAAAATTTATCAATGCTAAACCTACCCATTTCTCCATTATGTTTAAAGTTAAACCTTGGGCATTGCATCCACCACGGCTGTGAAAAACAGGCAGACGGGCCTGCTCCCAAACACCCTTCACTTATTCTGAACCAAAAAAGGGGACGGGTTGTTTTTTTTTTTGACATAACGTATCTAATAAAATGTGGCATTCATTTATCACCATTGCAGCATCCTGAGGTCATGTGATCGCCATCTGCAATCTTCCCAATAAGCACCATCAATGGGGGAGTCAGATTTATTTAATGACCTTGTGATTCACTTAACTGAGGTGGTTTGCTTAACAGCTGTCCCAAAAAAGGATGTAAAATTGGACAGGACTCACTGAAATGGTATACGGTTTCCTGCCTGAGCAGGGGGTTGGACTGGATGACCTCCAAGGTCCCTTCCAACTCTATTATTATTATTATTATTATTATTATTATTATTATTATTATTATTATTATTATTATTATTATTATTATTATTATTATTACTGTGGGCCCAGGACTATATATATCGATAGATGATAGATGATAGATAGATAGGTAGGTAGATAGATAGATAGATAGACAAACAGACAGACAGACAGACAGACAGACAGACAGACAGATAGATAGATAGATAGATAGATAGACAGACAGATGGTAGATTAGAGAGAGAGAGAGAAATAGACAAAGATGATAGAAAGATAGTTAATGATAGATGATAG